ACGAGGTTGTACGTAAGTAGTTAATTTCGTAACTACTAAATCTAAAAATAAACATAAACACAGCTTTTTTTATAGTTATTTTAAGTTTAAATTTTGACAAAATTACATATTATTACAAAGAATAAGGATTTTAGTAATTTCATAATTTTATTAATCACAAAATATCCCAATTTTATATAAATATATATAATATTTTTCTAGCATCACTGATAATTTAAGAATAATATTTTGAATAATAGGTACTAATTCTACTTACCGGCTACCATATTAATAATACGTAATAATAATAGGTATAAAATATCCTATAGACTAACATAGTCTCCGCTCAGAATCGTTTTTTGTAAACAATGATATTATATCATTGAATTCAAATTTAATAATATCCACTTGGTGTTTAGAAGGTCGCCGTTCTGCAAGACATTTAACGTTTGTACAACAGAGCGACAAATTTTTAGTTTGAGTGAAAACTCATTTTGTGGTCATTGGAGGTGCAATTTTCGGCAAAAATATTCTCAACCTACCGTTTGGGATTGGGAGTATATATTGTATTAAAAGAGTGTACATTTAATACGGGGCTCTTGATATATTATTTCCATGTCAATAGAAAAATATTAAAAATACATTTTTTTGTAAAAGCGATTTTTTTATGCAAGCATTTAAAGTTCAAATTTTAACAGAATTTACAAATAATTTTATAGTTAAACATTTTTAAAATTTACATTTTTATAGCTAAGGGTTGGGAATTTAAAACAAGATTCCACACCAAATAAGTTATTCTGTAACCAAAAAATTTAAAAACATTTATACCTACACATTTTTTTTTATAGTATTGTTTTAATATGTTCAAATGTGATTATGTGAACGAAAATTTAGTTAATTACATACTAAATAACCAAAAATAATGTAAGGTATTTTGTTGTAATTTGAAAATGTTACTCTTGAGAATTTAGAGTATATTATTATATATTTATATGTTATACACACAAAGACTCTTCAAATGTATTTTTTTGGCAAAAATGAATTAAATCTACTGTAATGCAATAGCAAAATAAATTACTTTAATCACAATAATATCATCAAATATATACTAAATTACTAAGTAATATTATGGGCTGACAGACCGTTTTCGCTCAGCATCGTTTTTTGTATAGGTACATTGATTTTATATCATTGAATTCAAATTTAACACCATTTATTACAGTGACCCACATGTACTCTACACTACTGTACAGCAGAGCGACATCCACTTACCCGCTTTTTTTATTATAATTAATAATACTTATTTTAATATTTAAGACGTTTGAATAAATCTTTTATTTCAAGACATCTAATTTTGTGTTTTTGTTTGCATACAACATACCTATAGTAACTACTCAATACAATACGCTGACATGGTATATTAGAGTATTAGACATCATCGGAGCTCGAGACTTCTAGCATTTGCATATTAGTTTGTAGCACAATCAAAGATAGCAGAGTAAGCTACAAATCCGTTTCATACTAAAAGGAAAGGAGCTTTAAAAGTTTTTTGTGCATATTTTTGCATATTTTAGTGTATTTACATTTTTTCTGCTATTTTTATAAGTATCATGCTATTTTTTGCATATAATTTATTAATCTGCAAAAATGAAAAAGTTTTGTGGTTTGTACTCAGTGAGCGGCAAGTGTTAGTTTAAATTCCCATTTTACAAAAGTAAAATGTAAAAACGTGAAGACGCTTATTCGTCCTTACACCGTAAATAGGTATAAAAATAATATAATCTAAGTTTATCGACAGGGGTTGTTAATTATCTGACTATATTGAAATAATTAACGATGTAGAAAAATCATTTGAAACTCTACGAGGTCCAATTAGATTAAAAATACAGTCAAAATTAAAACAAGTGTTAGAAAAAAACACAAGTCTATCACTTTTGAAAAAAATTTCTTGCATTTTTTTGGGTATAAGAGATATCGAAGAATTAGAAGGTTTTCCAGATGATTTTTCTAGTAGTGATGTTGCATGCTTCAAGTTCGTCACTATCACATCATTCGATGTAGAACGTTCATTCTCAACATACAAAACATTTCTGATCAATAATAGAAGATCGTTCAAATTTGAAAATATTCACAAACACGTACTAATACAGTGCAATTTTCAAGGTATAAACAAAAATTTATAATTTATAAATAATTATAATATTTATTTACTTACTGATTCATTGAATTTTACCAAAAATGTTTGCAGAATGAAGAAATCATACATGTACAATGGACGACAAAAAGAAGAATACTCGGAAATATTTTTTAAAGTTAGATTATGTAATTATTAATTAAATACCTATAAATAAATATTTTTAGAATTAATCAAAATCAATTTTTTAAAAATTTTTTATTGAGCATATTACATTGCATATTTTATCATTTTTTAAGGCATATTGTAGCGCATATTTCATGGTTTTTTAGTGCTAGAAGTCTCGAGCCCTAGCTGGACATCATATTCAAGTGTTGACGTTGTTTTATTATCCACTTATACATACATTTCTTAAGACTTTCATTATTTAAAAGTTCACACATATCTCATAATATTATCTTTTTAAAACTTAGAATACCTAAAGGTATAACAATTACTGAAAGTAGGTATAACAAAAATTAAAACATGTGCTACTATAGCTAGGTACCTATATATTATGTTATGTGTTAGATTTAATTAAATTATTCATTTGAGTAATCACTGTAGTAACTGAAAAAAACTATAGCCCATGTACAAAAAGTATCCACTCCATTCCGCATCCCGGGAATAAATTTAATTGTTAGTGAGTTGGTCACTGAATGAATGTGTTAAATACGAATTCAATGAGAAATATTTGAGTACAAAATACAATTCCGAGCGTACACAATCTGTCAGCCCACTATCAAATATATTTTTTTTACTGAACTTAAGTCTATAACCCTAGGGGTATGGTTAGTTAGAATACGTGTTTGTGTGTCTAGGATTTGGCACTAAAAATCAGGGTGGTCACCCATCCAGGAACTAATTATACCCAGCCGCCCGGTACTTGCACTCAGAAACGAAACAAGACTAAATACAAGTAATACAACCATCGTGCCACACCAGGCCACTCATATAAATATTCAGAGCTATTATTTATTATTTTTTAGTTATTTATACTTTACAATAGGCACCATTATATGTAAAACTTGGTAACCCGGTAAAAACTATAAATCGGAAATACTGAGCTAATAACTAATAAGTAATAAATAATAGAATAATATACCTAGGTTGATTAATTCATTTTTGCTAAACGAATCATTTTTATTGACATTTTTTGACAACAACTACAATTTATTAAATACAATCCAATCAAAGATGGTATAATCAACTACCAACTTTACCAAATGATTTTAACAAATTTTCATTTTATTTATTTTTTGTTTTAAAAAGTGCTGAGAATTTTCAATTATTTCGACCTTCTCAAAGAACCTACCAATTAGATGCAATCCAAAAACCTACATCAAAGTTTACGATCAGAGTATTTTTTCTGCTATAAAAGTTGAGAGGTTGAAGCTGTGCTAACAGTTTTACTAACATTTTCAACTCTCTCACCTCAATGTCTGAAACTATTAGACTGAACAAAATAAAAATAAAATTATAATTAATTTTCAAGCCCCCCCCCCCCATAGAAAAATCCTGCGTACGCCACTGCAGGCATTGTGTGCATAAAATATACGTGAAAGTTAAAAATCCCCACAAAATATTTTTGAATTTCAAAAAAATACTACAATTGTTAATATTAGTTGTTTGCATCGAATTTCTACCAAATTTGTACATCAAATGTCTAAAAAAAATTAGAAATTCTTTGGATTTTTTGATTATAGCATGAACTTATTAATAGAAACCTTCAATTTCATGTAAACATTTTTTATCAAGTGAATAGATAGGTATTTATAGATAGAAAATTTAAGCTATTTGAATTAATAGGTATTTTTAATAAAATCAAAACTAAAAAGAAATATAAAATGTCAAATGTCTATAAATAGCTAAAAAAAAAAAAGAGTCTTAATAATGAATAATATATTTATGTTTATTTTTTTTATTAATAATATATTTCAACATATTATTTTGAAAATTATAATATTAACTGAATATGGTGAAAAATTCAAGTATCTACGTTATCTGTAATCTTACTGGAATAAGAAAAAAGTTTGACAAAAAATCGTTATATATGTGTATATACCAGGAGCTCATAAAAAATATTTGTGGAATTATACGCTCAATTTTTTTTTTAATCGAGTATTAACAATTTAAAATGAACCTTGTATTAAATTTTTTAATTTTGGTATGAATATTGAACATTTTCAACAGCACACATTTCAGCGATTTAGAATAATTTTGTCATATTTCTAACTTTGAACACTATAAAAAAATATTGTGACATGATTATATATTTTCGATATTTTTTAATTACCTAGTATAAAAAAAATTTTCAAGGTTTTATACCTACAATTTTTTACTAACGTTTGTAGAACAATAACTAAAAAATCGAAAATGTCAAATGCCTAAAATTTAAAGCTCAATTTTAAATTCTCTCAAATCTTATAGATTCAAGTTTCTATCAGAAAATAATATGATGCCACTATACAAATAATGTAGAAATATAATAGAACTACCAACTTTATGTCTATGTCGTTTAGAGCATAATAATCACTTGTTCCAGAAAAAAGTTCAGTTAACATGATAGTAACTAGGTACCTAAACATTTAGCGGAAGCAAGGCAAAAGCAGTTCCCGCGGCGTCGTCGGTTCATAACTGTAAAAAAAAAGGTACCTAAACGTTTAATTTGAATTTTACGAATGTTCAATATTTTGAACTTCGTTGGTGGGGTTACCGTCAACGTCAAACTACAGTGCAGTCTAAGCTGAGGTCAAGCCATAAGAAAGTAATAAAAACTTTTCTTTTTTAAGACCGTTCCGACCATGTCCGCAGCTCCGCGCACCACTATAGTGTTATCTACCTCACTGATTGCATTGTTGCTATGGTCTATTTTTTTTTATAAGAAAAAATCTATATTTTATATGTTCATTTATATAATCGTGGTTGTATAGAAATAGTATTAACAATATTAAGACTAAAAATTTCAAATATTGTATTAAATTCACCTTGAACAATAATTTATTATATAGTTGTATATTTTTTATCAGATTTCGGATGTGTTATATTATGTGTATGAGCGTGGAACTCCCTCCACCCATCGTTATCATCAATTTTGGCTGGTGAAAAAGTATTATAATATGTGTTAACTTTAACTCAAAGTGAAAGTAGTTACCTACTAGATAATATTTACTACCTTGTAACAGTTTTCGTGAAAGAAATATCTTTCTATTCTGGAAGTAGAAATATAATGACGGATCTTTCGATGCAATGAATATCATAGTAAAATGTCTTCGCTATTAAAATAGCTGTTTTATTATCCCCTTGTAGAAAATACAATTTGAACGCCATTCTCTTTTATTCCAATATCAATAAGGTTTTAAAAATTTTACTTATTAACGAAGATTTACCGATTTAACTTCCTCCATATCAAAATCATTACCTCTGCTGATTAATAAACATATCTGGTAAGTAACTAACTTATCTATTGGTTTAATGTAAATGAATTTATTGTTTACAATTTAAAATAATTGTTGACATTTCCTCTGTGATGCAACCATGCTAGGAAATATGAATTAAAGTAATTGGTTGTATTTTTTTTATATTCAAGCAACAATTTGTTGTTATACATATAACTACTTCAATTTATTTAATTAATTCATGGTTAGCTGGTCTTATATTATTCCTGGAGAATTATTTTAAAATTGTTGTTTAGGTAAGTTTTAATAGCGTTGAAAGATTCAACAAAACTGTTGACACAAGAAAAGATTATTAAAAACCAACTCTTGACTACGATGAATACTTAATGCAAATAGTAAATTTAATAAATTTAATATGGAAAATAGAATTCCTTTCAATCTTTGCTGTAGTGTTCTATTCTATGTCAACATTTATGTTTATTTAAACTATACTTATGGTTGAATAAATATTTTAAATACTAAAAAAAACTAGGTAACATTTTGTACCACATGTAATGATGATCTCTATGAATTGTGCAGAGTTAATAATGTGATTTTGCCATGATTGTTTGAGTTAGTAAAACATTATTTTATTTTTACTAAGGCTATGTATTTAAGTTTCAATGTAATTTTTTTTTAAAATAATAATTCATTATTATTTATTACAATAGTTGTGTGGTAAGATATACATATATATTTTAATATTGTTATATATATAATATATAGGTGAAAAATGGACAATCACTGTGGAGGTCATTGTGTGGCTATAGAATTAGACACCCATTGTTTAAATTATTGTGCATTACCTTGTAGAGACAACTTCTAAGTATTATATTTTGTATATTAATATTATTATAGATATTATCAATGGCCTTCATTCTGTTTAGTCTTAAAAAGATGGTATCAATTTTCCCAATATTGCTTTCAGTCTATTATATCCAATCATTGCAGTAGAACTATTGTGAATCATTAAAGTTGTAATTTAATATAAACTATTTTTGAATACAATTTTTGCTTTATTAATACAATTTATATTTGTTTAGTTTATAAAATGGCTCAAGGACCAGCTTTAGTTTGTAGACTTTTGGCTTCATCGGTATCTGTTGCTCATAAAGCAGGTAAAATAATTCGCGATGTTATGCAAAAAGGAGATTTGGGAATAATTGATAAGGTAAATATTGTTATTTAATATTTATTATACTTCATTGATTGTCTTAGTAATCAAGTTACCAGATTTACTGAAAAACAAAAAATAACATTAATCGTAACTCTTATTGCTTAACTTATATATGTTTAGGGTGAAAATGACTTGCAAACTGAAGCTGATAGATCTGCACAACGGTGTATTGTTGCATCTTTTAAAAATCTGTATCCAAATGTGAATATTGTGGCAGAAGAAGTAGATAAAATTAGTCAAAATTTGGATGTTCCTGCAGATTGGCTAATTACTGATCTAGATCCTAAAATATTGGATTTAGAGTGTCCAAAATCATTACTTGATGTTACAGAAGATCAAGTTAGTGTAGTTAAATATTGTATTTATGTTAAGTAATTAAAAAATAAATTATTTTGGTTCTAAAATTAAATATATTTTGAATGCTAGTAATTGTCCATAAAAATCAGTATACTTTTAATAATACTCTAAAATATTGCTAAATCTTTAATTAATGTCAATCAAGACTCAAGAGTACTTCAGTATTTGAAAAACAATTTTACTGTTCTATACCTACTTAATTAAAGCATTCCCTCCAACTGGCTCTAATAGTATTTTATCACATGGCTTAAACAAATCCTCAATTTGAAATTATTATGTTTAGGTTACAATTTGGGTAGATCCGTTAGATGGAACGTCAGAATTTACAAAAGGTAAATCATTGTATATTACATAATTTTTCATCAATTAGGGATTGCCTTATAAATATTTATGTTGATTGTTCTATTTTATAGGTTTAATAGATCATGTTACAATATTAATTGGAGTATGTGTCAATGATGAAGCTGTTGCTGGAGTAATATATCAACCATTTTGGCAAAACCGTGGTCGAGCTCTTTGGGGTCTGGTTGGCAGTGGTGTAGGAGGGTTTGAGTTGAAAGAACCCCCTCTAACAAAAAAAGTGTATGTAACCTCGAGGAGTCACTATGATAAAGCAATAGAAACATTCATTGATGGCTTAAAACCTTGCGAAGTTATACGAGTTGGTGGTGCTGGAAATAAGGTATAATGCTGCAACTTATTGATTATTACCATGTAGTTTTAATAATGAAATATGAATTAATTTTGAAAACATATTATTTAGGTGCTTTATATATTAGAAGGGAAAGCACATGCTTATGTTTATCCTAGTGCTGGTTGCAAACGATGGGATACAGCAGCACCAGAGGCAGTGCTAAGAGCAGCTGGTGGTGAATTGACAGATGTACATGGAAATAAATACAGTTATAGCAAGGACAACGAAAAAGACCCTTTAAATAAATATGGAGTATTTGCCACAGCTCCTTCTTATAACCATACTGAATTCATGAAACTTATTAGTAAAATTCAGTCAAAAAATGTAAAAAATGACTAGTTTTTATTAGAAAATGTCAAGAATATGTGCAATGAGTACATGTATTCAAAATTCAGGTGTTAAGTAAATTGTTAATAAACAAATAATTATTCAATTAAAAGTAATAACCTTTTGTAATTAAAATACAAACATTATTAATTTAATTTTTAACAATAACATATACTGGACATCATACATTCCCAATAGCAGGTATATCTAATACATTAGAATACTTTTAATTACGTAAATAAGTTTCATCTACAAATTGTAATTTTAATACTTTGGTTCTCATTTTCTCAAACACATGCACTCATACCACAATTGTACAATTTCATAGCGTATGTTAAAAGTTTTATTTAAACTAGATGTATGTATTTAATTTGTTGTAATAAATATTATCATTTTTATAAACTTTAAAATTATTTATTTAGTACCAAGTATAAAATATGGAAGCATTTCTAGTAATATTATTTTTTTATTTTTACAAATGAGTTCAAACCGGTAGATTTATAACTTGTAAATGAAGTGAAAATTCAGTGTGTAAAATACTATAAGGTTTTCTAAACTCAGAGGGTTGAAATGTTGAGAATAGACGGATTATGAGTTTCTGATGATATTTTGGTGAGAATTACTTTCTGGTGAGATTAATTAAAACATATGTATGAAGTGTTGCAACATAAAAATGGGTAATTAATGATATCAAAAAGATAAAATTAGAAGCGTTTGAGATGTGGTGTTGGAGGTGTATGAAGAGGATAAGAAAGTTAAAGCGAAAAACAAAGGCAGAAGTACTCAGTACTGAAAGAAAAAAGCGTACATTTATAGATGCGATTAAACCAAGGCGTTGGAAAATGATGGAACTTGCCCTGAGACATCCAGAAGAGATGCATAATATAATATTAGAGAGTATGCTAGAAGGAATGTAAACTGCAGGACATTAATCACTCTTATATAGGACAAATTAAATGTGATGCAAGAGTCAAATTCTTTAAGAAAATTTAAGCTAGCAAAAGGTCAGAATGGAGAATTAGGGTTGTAAGCCAACCTACGAGTTAAAGAAAACAAAAATTAGCTATAATAAATAATACCTTAATCTGTCTTTCACTTGAAATTACACATGCTATTTTCCTCATTGACAAAGGTACTGCAATTAGATAATTTCATTGCACCTATTTATATTATTATATATAAATTAAAAATGGTCAGTTAAATCTTAATAATGCCATTGCACAATGTTAATTAAAACTGAAATTATTTGTTACCCAGACAATATAGCTAAGTATTAAATTTATCATCAACCTGCCTATTTCTTATATTATACTTTATAGAAATGCCAATATTGTCAAGTTTGAAAACAATAACAACATATTAACAATTTATTAACATAAAACCTAAATAAGTCCAAATAAATTAACTATTTTTGAATTAATCAATTTAGATTTTAAAATAAGTGTACATTTATTCAAATGTCAAAGGAATTGTAAATTGTAATAATTATATTATTTTAGAAAATGCTAACTACACTAACCATTGCCTTGGATTGTAAATTTAAATTTACTAATAACATTCATTTAATTAAACAAACTAAATTCATTAAACTGTATATTTTAAGTTTTCAGTGTTTTTTATAATACGTAGTACCAGTAACATTAATTTTTTTTGGTGGAATATATTATACATTTATCTTTTGTTTAATAAACTATTAGGTGGGGTAGTTATTGATTTTTGAGAGAATACATATAATTATCATAGTCAATTGACTATTTGAAAATTAAATTAATTTTTTATGATAGCTATGCTTATAAATAACAAGAACATTAATCCATTTTTAAATCATTTAGTATTGAATTTCTATTATAACAAAATATATTACAGATCTTCAATACATTAAGAAACATTATTTTTTTAAAGTTTTTTCAAAAATAATTTATTTCTAGGTATATATCATTCTTAATGTATTTAGGACCTATATTATGTTTTTTATAATAGAAATTCAATACTAAATGAAAGAATATTTTACTTCTGAAACCTAATCATGTTATTTATGATATTTTTTATGCCTCAGGTTACAAAGGGTTTAGAAAATTAGTTAAATATATGTATAAATATGTAACTTATATAAATTAACATTAAACAACAGTATAAGAGCTTTTTATAAGTGTGATAAACTGCTGTCTACTGTTATTCATCAGTTAAAAAATACAGTCAAACAAATTAAGAACTTATAACTTCAATGTATAAAGACTTAAACAAAATCATATTTAGTTATTATTAATTAATTATTTTAGTCTATTAGGTTCATCAAACTTACAAATAGACAATATAATTTATAAATATAAATTAAATTATACATTTATACATTTCTAATATAATATGCCATCGCCATTGTCATGCGTAAAATGTTAAAGTGAAAATTTTTATCATTTTAATTTTTAAATTTGTAGTACCTCATAATATTATATTATTTTTTCACTTCAATTTTTGCATAATTTTATCTTAACATAGACTCCTAAGTGCAAAAACAGACCAACTGAAAAATAAAATTAACATTAAGATGTAACACACATACACTTAAATTTCTTGCATGACAACCACAATTTATAAAACAGCTACAAGTATTTTTCAAATATAAAATCGCATTATTTTAATAAAAAATTATTAGGTTATTTAATATTGGCTAAAGAATTATTATTGAGTATAAAAAATATAAAAACTAATAATTTACTATCAATAAAATCACATCTTATAATTGTATTAATAAAAACAATAATATATCATGTAATAATGAATAAAATAATAATATAATAATATTGAATAAAAATACTAATAAGTCAAAAATAATATGTAGTGCCTATATTGTAAAATGTAAAATATGTATTACAGTTTGTTTTATGCAACTGGAGATGAGTTTTCTGTTTCGTTTTTTTCTTTGCAACCAATACGTTTTAGCACATAATCTACCTGTTAATATAAATTTATTTTTCGATATAACAAATAGAAAATTTTTTATTTTTTAAATTATTTTACTTACATCGACAAAAACATAACTGAAACTTGGATTGAATGCAACAAAACGATTGAATGCAGACATTGAACTAACAGGACTGATGGCGTGAAGATGCATATGTCCTATTGAATAAAATGGAGGCCAATGAAAACCCATTCTAATAAAACAACAAAGCATACAAAATGAATACAATTATAAATGTAACTTATGATTTTGAATACCTTGTGTCATTCAAATCACAACCATTGTTTAATAATATTTGTTTTGCAGCTGCAACCATGCTCTTGACTAATGTGGATACACAAAAATATTATGTAAATTAACAAAGTAAGTAACTAGTTACTATGGACTAATATTTTTTTACTTACGTAAATTGCAATCTTGTTCATTAGGCTGTAAACTTTTGGCACTTTTTATATGTTTGTGACACAACACTAAGAAATGGTGCGTAGCCACGGGCTTAATATCTTTAATAATTACAAATTGATCGCTCTGTAACATTTTTCATTCCATAAAAATGTAAATTAATAAGTATTATCAAAAGTTTTTGAATTCTAATCTAGGGAATGTTTAACAGATAAAATATCATAAGGCCCAAGTTCCTACCTGACCAATTCATAGTTTTTGAAAAATGGCAAGTTAGTACAATAGTAGTCAAATAAATTTACTTTAGCATATCTATACTCCAATTCAATCCATCACTGGTCATCAATGATTGCAAGTTAGTATTACATTAAATACCTATTTAAATTTATTGCTATATAGCTAATCTAGGATAAGTATTAAGTAACCTATACAAAAATAGGTAGTTACCTATAATATCATTTCACAAAAAAATAAAAATAAATAAAAACAATTCTTACTCGAGGCTCAAGAATGATATTTGGATCATTGGCAGAAATTAAGTCACAAAAAATACAATTTTTTACTTGGGTCTTGGTTGTTTCATCAATATTTATATTAATTGGTTCCTTAATAATCGAGTCTTCTGTCATAATTAATAATTAGGTAGATACCTACACAAATACACAATCGTCAAAAAAGGAAGAAAAACAATTTTAAAAGGTTTTGTTTTGTTTCGTAATTGAGTCGATATTATATTATTATTAACATTTTATATATCAAGATTATTATTATGCAGACTATTTTAGTGTAATACTAGTTATTAATTATTATAAAAAAATAATGTAATACTAGTTACTACCTACTTTTACTGTTATCGTATTAAACAGCTTCGATAAAATCACTACAAACATGATAATGATAAGAGTTAAGAATGTTTATAAGTTGATAACCATGGTTCCAATAATTAAACTTTTGGTGACCTACTTTATTTAATAATAAATAAGAAAATAATAACGTAACATTTTTTCAACAATTTGAAATACAAAATCTTATTATTTTTTTTTTTTATGAAGGCGTACTTTTCCTTCATATGAGACAATAGCGCACATTATTACGTACTCCTGTACTAGTAATTTCTTTTCGGATTATCGGTGGCATAAACGCTTAATAATAAGGCCAACCCATTTATTAATAAATACAACTTGTAATACTAAAACTTGTTATTATAACTTCACAAATTTATAAAATAATGTATTACAATATTATATTGATTTCAATCAAACTAATTGGCCCATATAAATATATCATACCAATATGCATGAAAAAAAACTGCAAATTTTTTTTGATTAGTTATGTCTGTTAGGTACTTATATTTAAAAAAATGTTCTCCGTTAAATTAAGTTCTAATGTTATCGTGCAATAATAATTACAACTTACAGGTATCTATTGTATAAATAAATACTTACATCTTATTTCTGACTGTCTAATATATAATGATATTAAGCCCTTATGAACTTGTTACACAATTCGGAATTTCGGAACATTATAGGGAAAAAAATTAAGACTCAATTGGTAGGAATCACCCTTTTTTGTATTCAAATGGGTACCTATATCGTCAATCGTAATTGAGGATTTACAAATCAGATTAATTATTTTACATTTCTAAGGAAAATTATTTACTATTTTATTATTAAGCATATTATAATATTACATTACTATGTTTATTCAATAATGCAATATAAAATATTGTTTGTATCTATTATTTTTATAGAAAAACTCTTACGACTCCTCTCCGTTCAACCAGTTTGAACTAACTATTTTTTATTAATTATAATTTAGAATACCATTCATAATGGTCAGCACTTTATGGAATACGTTTGTAACTTTGTAATGGCACAAACTAACTCAACGTATTACAAATCGAATTGAGTCATCGACTAAAATGTTCGATAGGTAGGTATAATTGATTGCAAAACGCAGGTAAGTGGATGTCGCTCTGCTGTACATTAGGTGCATCGTGTCTAAGAGGATGTAATGGATGGTATATTAAATTTGAATTCAATGATATGAAATCATTGTATACGAAAAACGATTCTGTGCGGTGATGGTATGTCAGTTAGGATATTTTATATTGTTATTACTTATTAATAATAGATAAGTTATTATTAATATGGTAGCCTGTAAGTTAAATAAATATTATTTTTAAATTATCAGTGATGCTTGAAAAATATTAAATATAAATATTATGTAATTATGTAAAATTGGGCTATTTTGGAAACAAATTTGAAATTACAACAAAATGATAACCGTTATTCTTTGTGTTAATATGCAATTTTGTCCAAATTTGAACTTAAAATGTCAGTAAAAAATAACTAAATTCATATATTTTTTAAATTTCTTAGTTACGTAAAAAACTAATTAAGTGGAACCTTGTTTTAAGTTTTCAATCTTTCGATGTAAAAATTGAATTTTTATAAATTTTTAACTACAAAATTATTTTCAACTTGAATATTGTCAAAATTTGAACTTAAAATCCTGATAAAAAAAAGTCGTGGCTATGTATTTTTAATATTTTTCAACTGCTATTGTAACAAATTATCAAGAGTCTTGTAATGCATTGTCATGCTTTTTTTACCAACCAATACAATTTTATTGGCATTTATAAAAAAAAAATTTAAAAATCTGAAAATTAAAAATGTCCGTAAACAGCTCAAAATGAGTCAAAATATTTTGTAAAGTTTATCAAACATAGACATATAGTAATTGATAAAATAAACATATGGTATAATTTTCAAATGTACAATAATTCGTTTTTAAATTACAACAAAATAAGAAAATCGCTACATGAGAAATCGACAGAATATCCAATGTTGCAAAAGTTTCAACTTCAAACGCTCTTAAAAATTTAATTTAATTTTTTGGCAGCCATTTTTTTTTTTTGATAAAGATAGACAAACGTATAAGGAATATTGTAATATTTTTTTAAATCTTAGAATACAAAAAAAAAAGTTTTTTGAATATTCTAATTTTCGTGATTTTTACGAATTTTGTCAACGCTCATAAAAATTCATTGTGAATTTAAGCTCAATTTTTTTTTAAATTTCCACTAACGACCACTTACTCGACCTTGTATTATATTTTCAAGTTTTTTGACACAGTGAAATTTTTTTTATCGATTTGGGTTTAAAAAAACAAATAGGTAATTATCTAAAATTTCATTTGCCTATAAATAATTCAACATAAGTCAAAATATTTTGAAAATTGTATGGTGTTTAGAAAATTCTTACACAAATATTCAGTGAAAATATCATGGATCTACTGCCATTTTTGTTAGAGTTACACTAAAAACCAATTTTTTTTTTCGAAAACTAATTTTACGTAAAAATTCCCGTTTTTTAAAATTTTTTGTTTGTTTTTCTTGTTGCTTTTGAAAATTATAAGGAATTTTAAAGTTTAACTTCCCGAACGCTCCTGAATATTTTACTATTATTATATATTAATATTTAATAGTCTTCATTTAATTAAAGTATAATATAATATATATAAATAATCAATAGATATTGGTAATTTTTAAATATTTTTAGAAGGCCCTTCAGACACATCATTTTAAAATCAATACATTCATCGCTCCGCTCAGAATTTAAAATTGTCAGGAGGAGCAAGTGAACAACGAACTACGAACGAACATAATATTCAGGAATAATTGTGTCAACTTAAAAATTGAATGCTATTTTATTTTCAAACATTTTAAATATTATGGCGGTGAATTATGTGAATCTAGGATTTACATTGGTACTTAAACGTATTTCGTAAAATTAACGATCTTAAATCCTAAATCAATTCAAAGATTTTATTTTATGAATAATCGCACCCGAAAATTTGAGATGACACAATAACATGTCTAATAATAGATTGGAAACTGGAAAACCTTATTTAAACTTATCAACCACTACATACAATAAATTGTTAAAATTTAGTATTTTTTTAATAGATATTCTGTGATAAGGAAAGGGGCCAAAATATGTTTTCCTTCTTGTGCCAAAATGGCTACGGGCTACGTGCAAGTTATTTTGTGACCGAACGCAGACTGCGATCCGTGTGGCTTTGAGGTTTTCCTAGAAAACAGTTTATCATTGACAAAAATCAAGATGGTATACCAATTAATAATTATACATAACTGTAAAGGTAATAGTCATATAGGTACACAATGTATTGGCTTGTAAAATATATTTTATTTTCATGATTTAATTACAAGAAAAATTAGTTAATACCAAGTAGGTAGATAGAAAATGGTTTTTCTTCGTCGACGGTATGAAATTTAGCTACAGCCTATTTTAACATAAATATCCTATACAACAACTAGATAAGCGTCTCCTTATCATCAAAGACGACCGCCGTTTACAAAGCAGGCAATGTTTACAAACACAATATAATATATGTTGGTATATAAATAAATGTAAACATTGCCTGCTTCATAAATCGCGGCCGACTTCAACATCATGTCATGATGATATATTGATATGGTATAAAAGATTGTATGAACCTAATTGTTATATATTGTACCTATAAATATCTTTGATTAAATGAGTTGTAACACAGTTTTTTATCATGATACTATTTTAAATTCTAAGCGGAGTAATGAATGTATTTATATCACCATTTTTATTGTCTGTCATAAACTCATAACCTTTTGGGACAATGAAATGCTTCAATACCACGTTGTCTGGTGAAAAAGTGAATGTAGTTGGTACTTTGGGTCATAAATAAAAAATTCCCAATACTTTTCAAAAGAGTCCGGAAAAACAAATAAAAAATTAAGGAAAAATTTAAATTTTTACTCAAAACCAGTTTTTGAAACAATCGATTTTGTTTTTCAGTGTAACTCTAAAAAAATCGGTGGAGAACGATTCCGCAACTTTGTGGAATCGTGTAGGTTTTAATAGCCATTAATAAACATAAACGATTCCCCAAATTTCATATTATATATACACGATTCCGCATAATTTGAAATGTAAAGTTGCCAAATTATAATTTAAATTTTGAAAACTATATAATTTTTTATAATTGAGGCGTATAGCGAACCTAATATACTTTATACCCCACATAATTTGTACAACTTTAATATTTTTATATGTTTTATAATATGTATAATTAAATATTAGCTAATATTTTTTTTTTATATTTGATGCATTTTTAACTAAGAAAATATTAACTGTTAAAATAGTTGTGTACAATATAACTGATATTTTTTTTATATTTAATTTTTTAAATTTTGATTAAGGAATACTTCTAAGGTTATTATTATTTTATTTTATGTCTCATATTATTATGTTCATATTTTTATTATATCATTAAACTATATTATATTTAGCAATTGATTAAGTAGCACTCTAGATGGAAGCACTTACTCATTTTACTTACCAAACAACTTAATACAATTAAAGAAAAAGTTTAATTTGTCAAAAATAACAAGAGCAGACAATTGTATGGCAGCGTTGCATTTAAAATTATGCGGAATCGTGTGTATACATATGAAATTTGCGGAATCGTGTACCTATGTTAGTCAATGGCTATTAAAATCTACACGTTTCCGCACATTTGTAGAATCGTGTTGTAACCAAAAAAATATCGGTTGATACATTAAATTTTCACTTAATATTTTTATTTGCAATTTCCATGCACGGCAATAAAAAAAAGGAAATATTACGATTCTTTTTGAGATTATTATAAAAGCATAAGAACATTTC